ACTCCAGAGCATCGAGGCCGCCTGTTATCACCGTTTTCCCCTGTGAGAGGAAGAAAACAAGCGGGACTTCAACAACAACAACAACAACAACAACAACAACAACAACACCACCTGCTCCTCTTGAGACAATGACCTACAGGTCCCAACATTTCCATAGAAGAATACGGGAAAACTGAATCAGAGCTCGGGCTGTAGTTCAGTAACACGTTATCCTCGCTGTGTTTAAAAATAACAGAGGGATACGTTTCATTACCGTCACAAAAAAAATAAAAAACAATAAAAATGGCGCAGCTATCTTGCCAATATGGAAGCAGTTTAGGCAGCATGATATTGAGTAGTGTTGTAGTCAAGACCACACTAACCGAGACCAAGACATTTTTTAAATTAATGAATAACCATTAATGTAAACTATACTGAATGAAAAAATAAAATAAACAACGATTAAAAAACATGATATAGACAGATCTTGGTTATGTGCAAACACGCATACAATCTTTGATGTGAATACCTGCAGGAGATGATGCACACTTCTTTTTTTTTCATTTAATACTTTTCTACTTCTTTTTTTTATTTCTTTAACAGTATGCTTAACATGACTCTATATGCTTGTAAAAAGGAGGCACAAAGCTCACTCTGGATGCTTCCTCTGTTATATGCATTTTGAATCTGCATACTGTGTATACATCTCTATGTATTGTTTCCTTTTCACCACTGGGTGTTAAAAATATGAAAACATGTTGCAAATATGTAAGTACAATGATCGGAAACGTTAATGTATTGCAATAAAAGTATTAAAAATAAAACAAAAAAAAGACCAAGACATTGAGGGATCAAGGCTGAGTCGAGCGTTTGAGTCTCAGTTAGTCTGGTCTTGAGTACAACACTGATGGATGATATATAAAAGATGAGTTCATGCTCATCCGTTCAGTGGAAAACAAAGAGGACACAGAGTGTGTTTCTGCTCACCGTGCTCTGGACGACGCTCGTAAACGACGACAGCATTCCCAATGCACTCCCAACGGCTGCTGATCCCTCTCCAGCGGCCGCGTCGGGCTCAGCGCCGGCTTCACCTGCAGGGGGAAATGAGCGTGACACTCTTACAACAAGCTGAGCACAATGTGCAGGATCTTCTGTGATGTTCAATAATATAAAGTGAAACACGGCCTCACCCTGCTGTTTCTGCTCCTCCTCGACTTGAGCTGAGAGTTCGGTCGGACTCGGGATTCCCAGCGACGTCTCGGCCTTCTCTATCGCCTGACTGAGCCCTTGGCCTGGACAGACACCAGAAGCAAACAGTTTGGTTTGTAACAATAGTGACAGACTGAGAGGTGTAACATGCATGTACAGTTTGTGAGTTCTCAGGTATAATATTAGGTTCCCCCTCGCCCCAAACAGAGATGAGCGACACACCAAACATCTGAGACATCCAAAACATGTTTGAATTCTTCAGTCTTTTCTCATGTTTCCTTTTGTGTGTCCAGCTCGTCTCAATCAAGTAAGGCAGCTTTAAAGCCACTTAACAGACAAGCTCTTTAAATCTTTGATAAGAAGTCTCTGTCAACAACATTTTCAACGTTGAGCATTTGATTAAATATTCATGAGTCCGACTGGTTTTTAAGATCATTCCCAAAACTGCCTCTCCACCCCCCCTTAAGAGATTTGTTCTATTCTACTCTGAACAGATGAGCAGGGCAACAAGGTCCACCACCAGGGGGCAGTGTTGAACTCCAAAAAGAGGTATGCTAACTTTGCAGAATCTGCTGTTTCTCTTACAGTTGAACAAAGCATGCTGCATTGTTCCTGATAAAGACGATAGGAGAAAATGTCTGAGCCATTCATTTAATGAAAACCTGTTGTAGTATTTCAGACAGATCTCCAGGTATAGCACTAAAAATGACCACTAATCACACAGATATATACTATTTAGGTATGGGGTCCATACTCACCCACTGTGGCCACCGTAGCTGTTGCTGTAGATAGGATGGATTTGCCCCAGCTGCCCCAATAACCCCAACCACCCTGAGACACGGTGGACTCACTGGGAGCCTGAGAGAGGCAGAAAGCAAGAGAAGGGGGGGGGATCTACATTAGTGCATATCCAGAGGTCTTGTTAGTGCATGTGTGTGAGAAGCATATCTCTTAATAACAGAGTGTAAAAACAGAATTTCCCCTCTGGGAGTGCCGTCTAAAATTTAAGACTTTTAAGACATTTTACGATCTTAGAATGTAAAAAATCGAATTTAAGAAGTTTTAAGGATCCGCAGGCATCCTGTAATAATTGCTGTGTTATCATAACCATCTCCTCGTCCTTACCTTGGCAGGCTGCTGCTCCTCTACTTTGGCGTCGGCTCAACCTCCGCTGCAGGTTTGGGCTCTGGTCTCCTCCTGGCTTTCCTCGTCGGGGCCACGTCAGTCAGGGTGTCGGGCGGGGTCGGCGAGGAGCTGTCGGGTGTTTGTGCAGGAGAGACATCGGGACTCTCTGCAGCGACCTCTGGACCCTCTGCGGCTGCTGTAGCTTCACTGTCGGACATCTTTAACGTCCTAGATCATGCATCTGAAGAGAAACTAAACAAAAGGTGGAACTATTAGCCATTAGGTCAGTATCCAATCAAACTCCTGCACAGCGTGGTGTGTTTATATTTACAGTTAGTGCTTAAGAGAGAAGAAGAGATGAATAGTTGACCTTTTGGCTGATGTTAATCAAAGCCTTAGTGGCCATTATACTTGGTAAAAAAATGATTACAGATCCAATCCGATATCGGTATCGGGTCCGATATATTATCATTTCCATATATCGGATATCAGACTCACAGCGCCAATGCACGTCACAGATCAAGAAAGACACCATATCGATATATGGTGTTTGTTGGTGCTTGTATGACATATTGGGCATGGATGGGTGGATGGATGAATGTTGAGGCTGTTACCGAGTTTATTATGAGGGTCAAAACTTCTCTTCTTAAAACGATCCTGGATATACAGTCAGATGGAAGCGGTGTGAGTAATGTCATTTGCTTTTGTTCTTGTCAGGCGCGTCGTGGCTCCGTCATTCAAGTCCAACAGGCTGGGAGTGGAGAGGTCGATTATCTTGGCAGCTGTGTTTGTAATTTAGGTGAGTTTATTTTGATTGTAGGTGGTAAGTAACTTTGTTAAAAAAAGAAACTAGAGGGACGAGTCACGCAGAATGGGTTGAGTTATTCTTTTGTGAAGTAACAGCAGACGATCAGGGGGTGGAAGACAGAGCTTTGAGCTTATGGGTGACACTTAGTCTTTTCTGTGCACGTTTCTGGAAGTTTAGTTTCTTGTCCATGATGAGTCCTCAGCATTGAAAACTGCTGACCCGTTTGTACTGTTGCATGCATTATCATATTAGAGAAAAATCTGTATGGGAAAAGTGTTCTTATTTCAACTCAGAAACTAGATGCATTCTGTCATCTAAAATCTGTACAGATATTAGTACCAAAAGTCTCATATCTGTCACTTTCTTCTTAAACATACGGAGACCCATAAATTGTCGTTTTGAGATCTTAGTTAAAAAAATATATATATATAAATATCTTAGAAAATCTATGAAGTAAAACATCCCGGAGGAACACAGACAGCGTGACCTCTGGGATGCAGGGCGAATTCATCTTACTTTATTTTGTATTGCCCCTCTTTAAGTTAAGATTATTTTTTGGAGCTCTGATGACGATGACGATGTAGATGAAGATGAAGATGTAGATGAAGATGATGACGATGATGATGATGAGGGGGGGGGGGGGGGGAGGGGTAGTTTAAAGTCCAGTCTGGATAATCTGAAACCTGAACACTCAGATTCTAACATGTTTAAATTAACGTGATGAACTGAACATACTGTACATTTGAATTACATCACCAATCCCTAAGTTAACCCACTTCTATAACACAAGAAATGTAATAACTATATAACAGATACAGACAGGTAAGTCAGGTGAGACATAGCGTGTTAGTAACCTGTTTTCAAGATTTACTTTCAACTAGTTAATGAGTTTAATGAGTCTTTCTTGTTTTTGAAAGTACATGAGTTATATTTGTCACATAAAAAGTAAATAAACACGGTGTAAAAGGTGTAAAAGGTGTAAAAGGTGTAATAAATCTTCTAACTCACCTGTCTCCTGTCAAAGTCTTGATGCTAACCTGTTAGCTTGTTAGCCTGCTGACACTTTGCTCTTCATTCACGAGTCACGACAAACGTTCTTCTTCGTTGTCTGCAGTTTCTAAACGTTAAAACACTTTATTTAACAGTTTACAGATAAACATGTGAGTGTTTATCACTCCTTTTGTTCACCAGGATTAGCCACGTCACAGTTTGTTTTCACTGTACAGAACTAACAAGACACAAAACAAAGCGAGACACTGGAGTTCCGGTTTGTACCTTCAAAATAAAAGGTGGTTTAAGAAACCGTTGACGCTTCAGCAAGATTCTGTAAAATAACGATTTAATTGGATTTACAATCAAAATTAATTTACGTAATTAAAGACACTTTTCTGTAAAATGCAATACCTTTTATCTGGCGCTTAACGGGTACACAGGCGTTATGGGTTTATTTTGAAGGATAGTGAAAACTACCACTACCGGTATTGTTTTTAACTGCCGTTTGTTAACTTGATAGTTAACAAAACAAGACTTCCGGTTTCAGAGAGAGCTCAAAATAAAACTCTAAACTTCCGCTGACAAATCAAGAAATCCTAAAAATTCATTTTTTAATTAAATTACCTTAATTTAGACATATTCTTCTATATATAAAAAATACAATTAATTTCCACGGTTCTAATTTTCTGATTGAGACATAATATTTATATATTCAAAGCACTTAAATATTACTAAGAGGTAACAACATGAGAAAACATTGTGTATCTTAAATAAATAAAAAAACAACCTTAGGCTTTTTTTGATGCTAATCAATGAAACTAATTAGTTATTTATGTAAACTAAAGTAGAAAAAAAACAAAAGTGGAAGGCGAAGAAGCCACGCCCACTCACTCACACCTGAAGCAGGAAGTGACAGGTGCCGATTGATCGTGTTTGGATCGATCTTTAAAGTTTAATAACAAACCAAACCGGGACTTATTGGATTATCTTTCATCACATATCGATCTACATAAATCCTTTATTTTGACTTCTGGTCGAATTTGTCGTTTGGGTCCAAATCTGAGCATCAGGTGAGAACGACGACATACCTGTGAGTTAAAGGCTGACAGTAGGTGAGTCCATGCAACATCATTATAATCCTCAGGGAGCAGGATGGCTTTTTTAACTATCAACCCAAATACTGAATGAAATCAACTTTTATCTACGGAAGCCCTAAGCGGACATGCATCTATAAATTATAATTTAACTACATTTCCCTCAAGATAACGAGCACATTTCTCAACGTATTTATCTCGTTATCCCTGTTTAATAACGCTGGATTTATTCAGCTGTTTTCTTGAGATATCGAGACATCAACACATTAAGAATGAAAAGCAGAAATGTTAAATTAGTCGAATTTAATTGAACATTTACACAGAAATAAAGTCATTAAAGCAAATCTGAACAATGCGAACAGGCTTCAAAAGTCTCAAAATATATACTGAAATAGCTTTTATTGTTGTTCTAGTTTTGACAGTGTTGAAAAAAGAGCCTAAAAATGAACAAAGGTGGAGAAGAAGAAAAGGCTAAATTCATCTTTAGACCTTGAAAGTAAAGAAAGATTTGTGTGTTTTCTTTGTTTATTAAGACTCCATGAAAAGAGGGATGTCCTAAATGTTAGGATTAAACACGTTTGAGTCACACAGAAGTAAGAGTCGCTGCGTGATCGTCTACTCTTCCTGTTCTGCAGGTTTGTCCCGTCTCGATGTGAGCTGGTAGCTGTGACCTCCTCTCAGCATGAAACACCACCTGGCACACCTGCTCCTCCCCGTCCTGCTGCTCTGCTGCTGCACGGCCGACAGAGCGCACAACAAGTCGGAGACGTGGCCGGCACAGCTGGCCAGCATCCTCTTCAGCGGGAGCATCGTGGCGAAGGAGGGATCCAGCACGCTGCTGAAGTGTAATGTGACCGCGGGCCCCGATGGCGTCAAGTGGTTCAACCATAAAGGAGCTCTGATGGGAGAGGACGCAGGTGAGGAGGAGGAGAGCTCCGGAAAAAGTTCTTGACGTGCAAACATTTTCTTCCAATTCCTCTGCGAGTTGTCCCGCCACCGCCGGAAGTTTGACCGGCTGTTGGGCCCAAAAACGGCCAACGTTAGCGTCAGGGTTTGTGTTGTCTGAAGCAGCAGTGACCTCCGTCGTCCAATGAGGCGTCTCTGCTTGTCAACATCGTGAGAGATTAACTGTGTACGATCTGCAGAGTCCCTCTGCACCTTTAAGAAAAAGCTAAAGAGCCAGCTCTTTCATGAATACCTACTAACTTAATGATGATGGTCTCCATATTATTGATGATGATGATGGTAATGACGATGGTTTTTGTTTGATAACGACGACTTATAAGATGGTTTCTATACTGATTAGAGCTCTCAAGAACTGCCCTCAATGTTGTGCTTTGCCTCTGGTCACTTCCTGTCAGCACCTGTGTGTCCAATCAGACTCAAAGCTGATCGTTTGCTCTTACTCACATTGTTCCCTTTTTTCTAGATCCTTGCTTGTGTTGTTCTTACTCTCTGATGTACGTCGCTTTGGATAAAAGAGTCTGCTGAGTGAATTGTAGAATTGTATGTGTGAGCATGTAAAAAGTCCAGTTAGCATTGTTAGCATCAGCACTAGTTTTGTTACCTGTGCCGACGTACGGGGCTCCAGGTGTGCTTCATCCTGCTGCTCAGCGGTCCGCAGCCGTGGAGACGACTTCTCGTGTTCGACATTCCCGTTTCCTTCACTTGCATCTGTTCAAACTGAAACTGTCTTTTTTGTGTTTTGTGTCCCGACTCTAGGCGGGAAGTGGCAGATTGAGAAAGACGGCGCCCTGAACATCACCGTGGTCTCCTTTGAGGACCGCGGCCGCTACACCTGCGTCGCCTCCAGCGTCGCAGGAGGGACCGGTAACTGCACCGTCATCCTGCGTGTGGCCCACAATGACAGCGGCTTAGGGCTGTACTTCGTCTGCATCTGCTTGGTGACCTTCAGCATCACCATGGTCCTGAACGTGGCGCGGCTCTGCATGGTCGGCAGCCACCTGAAGAAGACGGAGAAAGCCATCAACGAGTTCTTCCGCACGGAGGGAGCGGAGAAGCTGCAGAAGGCATTCGAGGTCGCCAAGCGCATTCCCATCGTCACCTCGGCCAAGACGCTGGAGCTCGCCAAGGTCACGCAGTACAAGACCATGGAGTTTGCCCGGCACATGGAGGAGTTCGCGCGGAGCATCCCCCTGCCGCCGCTCATCCTCAACTGCCGCACGTTCGCAGAGGAGGGCGTGGAGATGGAGACGCCGGGGCTTCAGTCGGCGGAGCAGCTCAGGAACAGACAAGCTATCGGCCCGCCCTCCTCTGACAGAGCGGGAGGCGAGGAGGACGAGGACGAGGAGGACGAGGACGAGGAGGAGGAGGTGCGTCAGGCTCTGCTGTCAAGTGAAGGCAAAGCGAACGATGGAGGAGGCGTTGATGTCAAAGTGTCGGTCCATGTCGTTTCTGAGACGCTCGACGGTCAGAATTAAGAGGCCGAAGAAGACAGTCGACAATCAACAGCAAAATAACCCGACAAACATATTTAACACGACTGTCACATGACCCTTTATGGTTACCCGGGCAACACGAGTTGAGACCAGAGGACCAAAAGATTCAAGATAATGTAACGACTAACAGAGAACTAAATAATAAAAAAGTTACAGCAATAAAAGCGAAAATAAATAATGATGAAAAGATAAAGATAGATAAAGGCCTCTCATCCAATCACAGCTGGGAACAGCTCCAGCCCCCTGAGACCCCGAACTGGATTAGCGGTATAGAAAATGGATGGATGTTAAAAATGTTTAAAGGACACTTTAAAGGAGCTCATTCATGCACTTGAAATATTTTTTTTCCAAATCTCTTAATTTGGTCTTTAAGAAATAAGAAGTCTAAATTAAAAACTGAGGGAAACGTCTTTAAAACTTAAAAACAAACTTCTTCTTGAGTCTAAGTGGAACGCCGACCTTCCTGTGATAACTGGTTAATGTCAGCCTCCAGATCTCGAGAAATGAACTCGTTATCGCAGGAAAAAGCAGCGACGTCAGATAACGAGAGAAATAAGTCGAGATCTGGAGAAAACAAGCTAAATGTACTCAGGTGTTATCACAGGAACATGGAGTCAAATAAAACGTGTGGATGTGTGTCATGTACTGTCTTCAAACTGTGAATTGTGTTTGTTTCTTGACAACGTGTTTGAATAAATGAAGAGGTGATCTCACAGACAGAGGTAAATGTTTTTGTTGGTCACAGTGAGTGGAAAATAAATCTGAATTAAATAAAGTGAAAAACAAGCAGAAGTTGTTGTTTGATGGTCATTTCTGTTCCTTCAGGTAGTGCAGCTATTGAGCCTCTAGGTGGAGCTGTTGGGTAAAACATCTGTACTGAACATCAGCGTCACTGGAGCTGCATTTAAAACACATCTGAGGGGCTGGTTTGCATTTTAAAAAGCTGGAGGTGGAAACTTGATATTTCTCTTAAAGAGACAGAGAGGAACTCACTGCTAACAGCTCGAGTGTCACCACATTTCATTATTTTATTTAACCTTTAATTATCAGGATGGCCAACAGGGTTCCCCGTGCACAGCCTGTACGTTCTCAGGTGCGCACGGTTGCAGGAACATACCATGACAAATAAAAAATCAGTGGCCCACTGAAGATAACTTTACTGTACAAACAACACGTTTCACCTGTAGCTTCCTCTGGCTCGCCCAGCACTTTAACGATCCAGGTTAGTCCCTTTGATATCAGAGATTTGTCTTTCAGAGGAGGCCTGACCAAGAAGAGCAGCAACAACAAAAACACTCCAATAAAAAGCAAATCAGCCTAAACAGCTGCACACAGGAAGGTTGGTTTCAAGACTCTTCACTCAGGATTTAAACACTTTCAGGGTAACTAATCTTTGCAGTTTAAATCTGTGAAAGGTGCAGAAAACCTCCAAATAGAATAGAAAGCCTTTTATTACCACCTTCATTTAACAGAAACTCATTGAGATTCAAAATCTCTCTCTTTTTTTTTTTCAAAGATTTATTTTTGGGCTTTTTGTGCCTTTAATGGAGAGAGAGGACAGTGGACAGAGCCGGAAATCAGGGAGAGAGAGAGAGTGGGGAATGAAATGTGGGAAGGGAGCCACAGGCCGGATTTGAACCTGGGCTGCCCGCCTGGAAGACCACAGCCTCCACACATGGGGTGCGCGCACTAACCACTGAGCCACCAGCGCCCCTATGAATCTTTCTTTTAAGAGCGTCCTGGTCGAGACAGTTCAGCAGCACAGTTTACAGAGTTTTTCACACAAACAACAGCTGTCCAACAGAAAGTGATGATTCTTTTGACCAATCAAAGGGCTGCAGTGTGTCTAGCTCCGGCTTCAATACGCTTGGCCCGTCAGCAGAGGGGTAGCAGTAAAGTGGCACGGTACAGATCGGTTATTTTGGTATCATTCCCAACTTTTGACAGCGGCAACACCAAGAAATGAGACGGAGAGAAAGAAGGTGGTTTACCAAAAAAGGTTCAAATATAAAAACTTTTTTAAAGGCCTCTGACGTGAGCCTCCAGGTGCGTTCCTCATTGGTCAGGTGGAGGATGTCTGTATTGTAACACGTGAAGTGTCTCTATAATCAGCACAGAGTTAAAAACAGTTTTCACAAAGCGGACACCTTCACTGTTCATTTGACTTCCCCCCGGACTCATCAGACCAAATCAAACTCTGTTCGTCCTACCTGAGAAAATATCCGGTTTTGGAGAGCAGCCGACATAACAACAAACAACCTTGGGCCTCGGCGTTGAATAACTCACAAAAAATCCATCTGTCTTCCTTTTCCTGCGCTCTCTGGAGGCGAGCTTATCTAAATAGAATTGATTGGTGTGAGCGATCATTCATCATGGGCGAGCCAAAGCAGACGTTTAAAGGAGAGAGAGAGGAGAGGAAGGTTTCAGGGAGAGGACGCCATCAGTGACCTCGAGGTAAACTTAAAGAGCGTAAAAGGTTACAGCGTGTGTGTGTGTGTGTGTGTGTGTGTGTGTGTGCGCATGCGTGCGTGCGTGTGTGTGTGGTAGAAGAACATATGTGAGGGATGTATTTGCTTTAAGGACATTTATTTGATGTGACAGTCGCTCTACACAGTCAGCAGCGGTGCAGAGCGAGTTTTGATTCGTCCATTAATGAATGAAGGCAGTAAATTTTGGCCTCTTGAATTTAAATTGCTCATAAAATCAGGTCGGGAGAAGTCTGTCTCTAATTGCAATTTCATTTCCAATCAGCCCCGAAGGAAACAGAATGGAGAAAAAACATCAAGGACAGGAGATGATTTAGATGACACGATGAGAGAAGAGCTCGTCATATTTGTTCATTAGACGAGAAGACGCGGTGCAGATGCAGCGGCTGTGATTAGCTCTGTTTCCTCGTGTGTGTGTGTGTGTATGTGTGTGTGTGTGTGTGTGTGTGTGTGTGTGTGTGTGTGTGTGATCCTCTGGCTCACTCCCAAACACGGTGTCGTCCTCATAACTCGTCTTCCACACTGAAGGACAAACAAATTCTTGAACCATATTTTTTCCCCTCTGTTAAGACAAAAAGATTAATTGCTTTAACTTTTTATCACTGGAGGTTGGAGGAGGTTTTTGTCCTTCCAAATTGTAATTTGTGTTGCAACTGCAAAAAAGAAACCTGCTGGGTCGAGGAGGTCGGGTGAGAAGGTCTCCAGCTCGCAGTCAGCAGTCAAGATTTTCCCCAAAGGCGCCGGGAGGACTTGAGGTCAAGAGCAGGGCGGCTTGTTGTAGAAGGAGGAAAGGGTCGTCCTCAAACTGTTCACACAAAGTGAAAATAACTCTAAACAAAAAAAATGCAATGGCTGGTGTTCCAACAAGACGTTTCTTTGCTGGAACTGAGGGACGTAAACCCTGAAAATCTAAAGCAAAGGTAAACTCAGCTCACCTTTGATGCTGAGGCCATCGCCGTCTTCTTTCTTTGGAGTCTGAAGTGACCATATTCGCACGAGAGGATGGATTTGGAGGGAGACAAAGGGTAAGCAAATTCCTAATTATCAGGCCTCTGCGGTTCCATTTGTATCAAAATCTGCACCTGAACATGTGTTAATATGTTTGTGTCTGTTAGCTAACGTTGTAGCTTGATCAGGCCATTTAATTGGTCACAGCTTTGTACAGAAGTATGTCTCACTCCGCTTCAGTAGGTGGCAATACACCCCCTTTCAGCTACTTCCTATCAGACCTTCTTCTGGTTGACTTGACTCACAGCAGGTCATCAAGCAGCAAACTAGTTGTGTGTCAAACAGTGAAAATTTGGACAACTTAAAATCTCTGTGATGCACGCTATCCCTCCAGCTCAATGACGGCAATGTGACTTCTTCTATGGTTTAGATTTATGCGGTTCAATTTTTTGGCGTCAGAGCCCGGTGGGGGAACTGTAGAGCATGCTCAGGTCGCTTAGAGGCTAGTCCTGGTTTCACTGTATAAACATGCAAAGGTAAATAGACCCCCGACCTCATTATCGAGGTGTTTAGTCGCACAGTTTCAGTTTATTTTAAAGTCCAGTTTTAGTCGGACTGACTCAATTCAACTTCTTCTAACAGCTTGTGTCTGTTCCTCACATGACAACGTATTTGTCTGAGACCATTCAACTTTAAACTAGTCTTCTGTCGTTGTGTTATCCCCCCCTGTCGTCTTGATGTGGTTATCTGACAAGTTGGACCCGATATCTTTAGGCAATTTGTTTTAAAACATGCGTCCAAAATGAGCTGACTTCTGGAGTTATTGATCTGTTACACAACAAACACAGTGCTTAGCTTTTCAACTCACAGTGTGTAGATTCCACCACCAGGGGGCTCTCAATCAAAACAATAACAAAAAGATGACGTCGAGGCTGGCGGGGAATCATAGGAGTGATTCTCTCTGCTACTGCTCGGATGAAACCGACCCTGAGGAAGAGAATATGTTCACAGATGAGCTGATGTATCCGAGTATAATTTACATGATGTTTTTATCACAGCAGCTCAAACAGCAGCAGGACGGCAGAGCTCCTTGTATGCAGTAAGAGTAGAAAGTTTCAAGCTCATGTGTCCTTATTTTGAAACAACCTCCAACAGAAACTTGGACCCAGTGACGGTCTGAGCGAGGTCATACAGCACATGTGCTAACAAAGGGGACGGGGGGCACTGAGGCTGACCTGATTCTCTGCGGGGTCTTGCTGTTGCAAACGGCCCTGCTTGTCAGGCACTAATGGGAAATAATGGCTGCAGAGAATCACGGCGGCGGGCTGGGCTCACTGGGGACCCGGGTGAAGGTATTGGGGTCACATGTTCCAACAGCTCCTGGTATCCACAGACAGAAACCATGCTGCTCAGAGAGATGAAAACATCTGCAGGGAAATGTGTGAACGCTGGCGATGACGTCGGGTAAATGAGGTCGAACATAAAGACTGTGACCAAAAGGAAACGTGCAGAGGCTGATTGTCGGTCTCCAGGGGGGCTTTGAAACGGTGCACCATGACATTTCATCATCATCACCGTGCACACCATCCAAACATTTTGCCTTCAATGACGTAAAACCACAGGAGGCCAAGGACGTGAAGGAGAGGGCGGTAATATCTTATTTGTGTATCTAAATATTATTTTTTACATAACGTAGGACGTTTTGTGGAAATATATACTCTATCCTTGTAGAATTAATATCCAACAGTTTGGTGTTGAAAAATTAAGCCGCAATGCTGCAGTGTAAAATCCTGCAGTTCCTTGAGTGTCCACTAGAGGCTGGCTGCAGAAACACATTTTTCAGATGATTTTGAAAAATGGAGAGAGGTTAGAACACAGAAAGGTTTACAGACCCATGCAGAGCTGGATAAACACTGAAGCTTCAGAGTCCACCACATGGTGACCTGTGACAGCTCTCTACAATGTTTAGAATTTAGACGGCAGTACCCATTTTAAACACTAGGGGTCAGAGTTACATACTGCTCCTTTAAGTAAATCTAGTGCAGCCATGTCTTCTAACTTTAAAATGTTTCATTACTTCTAGAGAACAACCAGCACACAGAGATCAGATATAGGTCATCTCTGTGATTTATTGACTCAGAAAGGCAAATACTTTTCTGATGATGTCGGCCACAAACATCACTCTTGCATCAGAAGCATTCAGCTCGCAAGTTTGTAATATTAGCCGAAAAAAAGACAGAATTTTTAAAAAGAGCAGATCACTGAAAACTTTTTTCACAGAGAAGCAAAGTTCCCGTGTGAATCTCCGCAGTTTATGTTTTTCATGATGATGAAAGCAAAGAGAAAAATTAAAAAGAA